TGTTGAAACGTGTTCCATGCATTATTTAGTCTTCCGCCATAATAAGAAATCATTTTCATAAAAGTCCACGCAAAACAGGCCACAAAACTGACACTGTCAAATCAGTAAAATCCTTTCCAAGAAGTAACTTAAAGTAACAAGCATAAGCAGCAAAAATCTTGTTAAACATGCGTACTGAAATGACTTCGTTGTTGGATTGGCATACAAATAGCAGCCTAAGCCAGAGAGATCCTCGACTAAGTTTAGAGGAAATCCATTGTAGCCTGTTGGTAGTGAAATGAACTGCCATTTAGCAACCAGCTCAGCTAAGAAAATGACGCTGACGCTTAGCTCATTTATATAAGTCTTACTCACTCACTTGGCTGATTTGTCGGACTTGGACAACAGTTAGTTAGCATGCATGTGCTATTTGCAGTAACAAATAAAACCTGGTAGCAGTCAACCATTCCATCATCATAATGAAGAATACGCAAAAAAGTAGAAGTTGAACGAACCCAAATACATAGCCGCTTTACTAGGGCATGAGCAACAAATAACTTGCGAGTAGTGTCTACTATTGCTCTGCTTACTCCAAAAGCAACTCTAACACTAGTTGGTCGGTCGGGCGGTCGGTCGGTTGTCAGTCGTACGGCAGTTCTGCAGTTCTGCAATGCTGGTATTGTGGCTGCGGTTGCAACTTGTAACATCGCACGTAATTTTGTGAGATTACTTGGATACGTACATGCAGGAAAACTTTTGCAAATAGGGTAAATACTTAATAGAAATCTATGCGCTGGCTGGCATGTATTATGCCAGCTTAAGTGTCTAGCACAGGCATAGATATTTATGTATAAGTCTTTGCTAATATTGTTGATTCCTTGTAAGTGCACAGCTGTCGGCCATAAAGGAGAAAATTACAAGTTTGTGCGGTTTTCCAATTTCCTTGAGAAATATAATTACAAAAATTTGGAATTTCTGAAAATGGTTAAAAGATTTATCTGATCACATAGAAAGATATAAGAAAGTAGGTTAAATAGTTTTAGTAAAGGATACGAAAAGTAATTAAATTTCTTTAAAATTAATTAAATCGATCGAACAGATATTGTTTTTAAGTATTGAAAGTTAAAGTTATACTGAACAACAGCTTTATATATTCATATATAATGATAAAAAAAATTTAATAGCTAATTCGATTAAACCAGTACATAACCATACGTCCAAATACATACAGGTGTATTACTCTTGCACTAAAACCCGGTAAATATATTTGCATCAGACCTATTTAAGATAATATGTACTTTCAATATATAATCTTTAATCGTATCACTGTATTTATGTATATTCCAATAATTGTTTTTCAAATTACCTAAAAAAGCGATAATGAAACTTTAAGAAAGGGTTTTGCACTGAAAATAGAGGATCAATTTAATGGTAATCTAATCAAATAGTTGAGATGAAAATGATAATGATGTTTTTAACTTATTTATGAATTTCAATAATAATATAAACTGGAAGGTTTGAATTTAAAGATTCTATTATTTAAACAAAATTAACAGGAGTTTAAAGAGAGATATCTCAGACGTCCACAACGACTTAAGTAACTTCATTATGTTTATTCTGCGTGAACAGTCTTGAAAGGTTTTAAAAAATGTGTCACATGATAACCTCTTATTCCTGCAGAATTTTTATTTTTGTTTCATAATTACTGACGTCTATTTTTTAGAATTTGTTTTTCATTCTTTCCATATTGTACATGGAAACAAATTCAGGCTATATTGCTCTGAATTACAATTGTTATTTAATTATTAATATTAAATTAATAGATTTTAACATTTCTGTTTCTTTTGTATATAATAACAGAGATAAGGTTGGATTGGAGTGGCAGTCTTGTAATGATGCCCACTAGATCTTAAATAATGATCCGTTGTGATAATAAAAGGCATTAAATTTTATAGATTTTAATATTTCAATGAAATGTCCCATCAAAAACACTCTGGTTTTACAATTAATATTTACATTTGACAGGAATGATTTAGTGTAGCACATATCCTTGAAATGAATGAATAATTTTTAACTATAAAAACTAAAATAAAAATGACCTTATTAAAACTAGACCTATTCTTAATTAAAAATTTTTTATTTAAAAGTTTTTATTCCTTATTCAAAATACGATCGGACTGCAAAGTACTTGCATTATGCGAATCAAGTAACAGGTTGATTACATAGACGAAGTCACATGTTTGCATTACAAAATTTTTCAAATGGGAACTCATTTATTTTTCTTACGTTTAGGGCATTAAACTTCAAGCATCCATTTCACACCATATTTTCCTTATTTTCATAATTTAAAAAAAATTCATAGTAATTGCGCATGCGCAACTGATTTTCCACACAACAAAAGAGTTCAAGTACCTTTCCCTGTTTGTATGAGTTTTTAATGCCTTTCTTCATTATGCACGGTGGTGAGACAAGCAAAATCATAATGCTTACGGTGAACCATTGTACTTACTCTGCAAAGTCGTAACTATGTACACATAAAGTGGAATTCAGGCATGGCATTCATAAGGTATTCAACACACAAACTATGAAGTCAACACTTATAAAAATGACAAATTCCTAAAATTTCGAGAGTTATGACTTTTTAAATTAATTCGTTAGTACAAAAAAGTTGTAAATAAAGGGAATATATACGGGTATAATACTGTTACTAAAAAATTGAAAAGGGAGTGCCTCAAAATGAGGACGGATTGATTATTACAATCCTATAGTTCAGTTTAAATATATAAATACATCATTTGGAATGAAATAAGACGTTATATAGATAATAAATATTTTTAATCTACATTTATTAACTAGGAAGATTTTACAATTTTTGTAGGTATCTGCTTTTTAAAGCTGTATATACAAAATGTATATGAGATATCTTATCCTAGTTATTATTATTATTATTACTTATTATTATTATTATTATTATTATTAATTATTATATTATTATTATTATATTGTGCACTGCGACCTTAAAAATCTATTGTGTCCCTTATTCGGGTTAGAGTATTTCTCCAGGTTCGATTTCTTTAATGAAAGACAGTATAGAGCCTACCTTTCCTAGTCTTGAATCTTTATGATACATGAAATACCCTCCTAGGTGTTTCTTCCGCTTGTGCATCAGTACCGGGCACTTCCTAAGCAAGTGGTAAGCAGTTTCTCTCTCTTCTCTACAGTATCTGCAGTCTGAGTTGGATTGAATTCCTAACTGCGATAGGTAATTATTCAATCTACAGTGACCGGTCAATAATCCCGTAATAATTCTTAGGTTGTTTTTTGATTGTGCTATCAATCTTTGAAGCGTTGTTAGTTCCTAACAGCATTTTAGATTGTGAGAGTCCTGGTAACCTTTCGCAATAGAGTTCTCTTTCTTTTTCCTCTGTACTATTCATAAGAAGAAGTCTTGAGGCCGCGCTTTTTCTTGCAAGATTGTCTGCCAATTTATTGCCTTTAATGCCAGTATGTCCCAGAATCCATATCAGGTGCACATGATTGTTCCAACCAAGAATGTTCAGCTTGTCAATGCCTTACCAGTTTTGATGATACCTGGTAGGATATGAATGCATTATAGCTGCCTGGCTGTCAGTCAGTATTGCGATTTTACGATTCCGGTAGTTAAGTTCAAGGTTGAAAGTGGCACATCTATCTATCGCGTATATTTCCGCTTGGAAGATAGTTGCATTATTTTCCAGTGCTTCCCAGTATCTCTTGGCTGGTCCATTAACACCAGCCCCAGCTCCCTCATTGGTGAGGGAGCCGTCTGTATACCATGTTGTCATGTCTTCTTTTATTATTTGGGTTTTGGACAAGTCTTCCCTTATCCTAGTCAGTAAATTTCGATTAATATTATTAGTACATTTAATATAAACAAGTAAGAAGGCAATAGAAAAGGAGTGCTATGGAATTAAATATTTTATTGAATTATAAATATACAGAAAGTAGTAAAGATGGATATAATAAACGAGATCGTTTTAACAACTACCAACCATAAAGAAAATTAGAAATTCCAAATGATGGTGAAGACATCATTACTAAATTTAGTTAAATATTGTTTATAAATATGAAAGAATACATATATATATATGATAACAATAGAATACGACTACTATGGACTCAAATGTTTTGGTAAATTGTTAATGTACAGAGAGTAGTAGACTTGTATATGCTGTAGAGGATGGCCTTGGACATCTCCCAACCATAGAGAAAAATAAAAATTCCGAATGATGGTAAAAGACAATTTCTAAGTACTGATATTCTCCATAAGCTGCCCTAATTTCTCAGAATATAAGACCTATGTAGCACTATGAACATCCAGCAAATTACAAAATGGAGTGACCAATAGAATATCTGTAAACGTTAAAACGTTTTGTTAATTTTAAAAAAATATTATTTACGAATGATTAAAAGATATAAGAAATAATTCCAAGACCACTGATGATAAGTATTTGGCAATATTCGGAACAGCTGTATGGTCGCCAAAAATTCAATTAATTAATATAAAATATATATAAAAAAGAATTTTTGTTGTTATAGTTAACTACTTTCCGAACGCTCTACCAAATACATGGTAGAACGCTCTACTAAAAATAACATGGACTTGTTAATAAATACTCTAGTTAATGGAATTCTATCAAATATTGAAATTCTTTTAGAGATTTGCATATTCGTTTTATAAGTTATATTTCGGGTATTAACTATGTTTAACTATGTACATTCTTACAATTTTTATCGTTGTATCTGTCTTTGGGACATCGAGTATATTACATATATTATAAGTATAATGTATATACTTATAATGTATAAGTATACATAAAAGGAGCACTGAAATTTCCTTCTATTGAGTTGTTAATCTACCAGGTTAGAAATTGTAATATAAAAATTATTTAAGTCAATACATTGTAAAAATTTTTAAACTAGAGTCTTGCTTAGAGGTATCTTAAAAAATTTGTAATAACTTTATGGTCTAACGAAATTATTTATGTAGTAGAACTTGTTAAATCTTCAACATTTATATACCCCATCGGTGATGACTGAGTTTTTAAATTATTCCATTCTTGTTGAGTGTTACCTTCTAAATACGATATTAAGCATAATTATAAACAATACAATTAGATAATAATTTTAGTAATATTTTAGTAAAAAAGGAGACCGTCTGTCATAGAGGTAACTTGTCTTATTGTTATGTTAAATTTTTTTGCAATAAAAATAAATTACGTTCAAGTACGTTTAATTGCATTAAAACAAAAAAGCACTTACATAACAAACTGTAACTTTTTTACACAAAAAGCCCCCCTTTTTCTGGCAAAATCAATATACTTGTTAAACAGGACACGCTAAAAATAACCATACATCACTGTGCGATCGAATCAAGTACAGTCTCGCACATCATTCAAAAAGTTGAACAACAAACTGAAGGATCTTCACTGTCCCTTGTATAAAAATACACATATATATCTAAAGTTTGATGTACAGCATTTTAATCGCGTTAAAAGGCGTATATGAACACAAAACAAAAAAATCAAAAGAAAAAGCGTTGAAAACATATTTCATACTGTACTGAAATGAATGCATACAAAACAACCACGATCTTCGTTACCAACACACCAAGAATTCAGTATGTCCTCCACGTAATCATGCATCATCACACGTTCCTACAAATATTGACTCATACAAACTTGTACCCGAATGCCTTTTAACATAATTCAAGATTTTATGGTAGAAGGACATTAATGTTTAACGCCAACTCATCGTTTGTGGCAAAGAGGATCAAACTGGTTTCGATAAAATAAAACTCCTTGAGAAAGAATTTGATTATGTGGCTAGCTAGTGAAACCAGTTTATATGTATCTGTTTGCTCCTAATATTACTACCTGCTTTTTGTATCCCACGGAAGGGATACAAACTTATATCCAACAAGCGTTAGCAGGGGCATTGCTTGGGTATTTGCCTGATTATGAACAATCCTTTCGTTCGTTCTGCTGATGCTCAATCGTTATTTGCCATTTACGTTCTCATACATTTTTCTTGTTGGAATATTTTGTATAATATTTTATTTTTAATCTTATAACTTTTCTCTATAATGCAACTCAAGTTAAAGTGTTTCAAGGCTTAATGTTACTTGATGATAAATAAACAAATAAAACAGAAATATCGCACCCATGTGAAGAATAAATACATATTTCGATAAAATCGTCCTCATGTTTAAGAATTGATAAGTAATTCAATGTGTTTGCGGCAATTAAAGGGAAAGTTATTATTAGTATCCATATCTTCTTGGGGACGATATTTAAATGGAATGAAAAAAATAAATTAGTAATTGAAATCAGGATTTGAAGGCAAATGACCTCAAATGAAGTCAAATGAAGGGAGCAACGAATATAGTTCTTTCATTATATGGTATATATTAAAAAATAATTTGTATTGATTTTTCTGCAAAATAAATAACGTATCTTAAATTTAATAATAAATAAAAATAATTAAAATATAATGTACATTATGCGTACATTTTTAATTATTAATAAATTCAATCCAAAAATATTGTATTATAGGATGAGTTCATAGGAACACATAGATATTGATGGCATGTGGAAAATGTCCGTGACAGTCGGTTATCGTAACCGTGTGGAATTATGTTACATTATATACTATTATGTTATTATATGTATTATTTATTTTGTTTAGCTCTATATCCAATCCTATGTCTTAACTTATATTGCTTTTATATATTTAAACATTGTTTGTAAAAAATAATGACTTTTTTCGATATTCTTGCTTTTATTCAATACTTTTACAGTTTTATCGAGAAAGAATTGAAAGCGTTAGTTCAGACGTTTATCATTTTACCACTCTATCATCTACGAAGTTACCGAGTAACCGAAATCTGTTCAAATATCGTTAGTGGTGCTACATTTGTAATTATCAAAGTAATACCAGATCTGGATGTCATGTACTTATAAAGCATTGAAGAGTTATGAGTTATAATGAGTTATAATGCTAAGCAAGTTCAGCAATAGCTAGGAAAGTGTTATGGTAAGTCTTTTTTTGTTAAAATCATATAATTTGAGAAGGTTTGCTGAATTTTAATATGACCGTATAGACACAAATAGTGCTGAACGCCTTATGGAATTACGCAGTTACTCAAAACACTGCAAAACGTCTATGAAATTACATCGAACGACCCTAAAGTAAAGTGCGGGGTGAAAGTTGACACCCTAAAAAATTCACAAGGCATTATAGTAGAAACAAACATATTACTATGTTTGAGAATAATACAACCAGTTTCTGAAACTAACAAGCATTTTGTATTTTTATGTAATTAATAAAAGAAATATGTTTTCAGTGTTTACGTTAGATACCAATGGGTTCATGTAGTTTTTTATAGTTTAAACGTCGGGTAAAGCATAAGTTATTCATGAAGCCTGTCATAATGGGCCACTGTTGCAAAATTTGTGGTTAAAATGGATATTTGCCTATACTGCATCAAAACTAATACATAATAAATTGATAATATCAAGCACTGTTTGGAGTTTCTGAAGTATAATAAATAAGATTTTTTGGATCAGGTTGTGATAGCAGATAAGAATGGATGTAGTATGGAGTGTTTCGTATTATATTCATCTATTACCGTGAGAAAGAAAGAACAAACAATAGTAAATCTTTTATGATATTAGTAGGAGCGTTTAAAGAATAAAATTAAAAAATAGATCCCAAATGCGGAAGAAAAAAGTTAACTACATATTGCAAAACAAAGTAGTAACTTATTTGAAACTCTTTCCCCGCAGAGTAATAATTAAACCACATTTCACAAACAGTCACAATTATAAACAGTTGCAACAAATCCATCTCATTCTGCGAGAACCATCCACGCAGAGGTCTAGAATGCGATTGCATTTTTAATCGAAGGTTAGTAAACGTGTTACCAAATTTCTTCGCATCTTCATAATACGTCATACCACTAGTTTAAGTTTAAAATGAAACAAAACGCAGCTCAAGTAAAAGTATAAGTCATGGTGCTATATACTTTTTAACAGTAATGAAAATAATCTCGGTGTCTTGAGAAAAATGTGTTAAGGACTACTAAATGTATTTAGAAAAAATCTAAGCATTTTCGATTTATAAAAATTAGTTTATGCTACATTGTTTTTAGTTTCACATTTACTATTAATGTCGACTATTTTCATTGCTATTTTTGTGATTGTACTTCATGGTGCTTTTTGCAATATTATTCAGTTGTTAAAATTCATTAATACGCACATGTTTTCGATTTATAATGTTAAATGCAAATTGTTGCAACTTGGCCAAAGTTATAATTATCAGCAACGAAATTATAAGATATAATTGACACTAAATATGACACATCTGGGAAACAGGAAATGATAGCATGTCAAATAAAGTGGAGGAAATGACTGGAAACAAACTTAAAAGAATTGTTTGAACAGAGGATATTTGGTAATATCGAAAAAGAATTCTCTTAATTTTTTATGTATTATTGTTATTATTAAAATTTCTTTTAATATAATGTCTTCTTATTTTAATACACTTCTCCTAAAAAAGCGCAAACTTTTTTGACTATTTTTATTCAAAATCTCATTCATAACAATTTTAGAATTTTTAGCAGGTCTGAGAAGTAATGGAAACTATTGTGTGAGAGTAATTGTTTATTTATATTTTATAAAAAGTTACAAATTTGTTGAAAAAATTCACCCCCTTTTGATTAAACCATCTTAACAAAGTTCTAGAAATGTATATGCGACTGCATCTTTGATCCAAGGTTAATATATTTGCAAATACAGCCAAGGGGTGTAATTATTATTCGACCATTATCCAATACCATCTATTAAAGCATTTTGTCGATGTTTTTGAAGATGAAGGCAGTTGATACGAGCATATATAAATTCTATCGCTCACGTCTTTACTGTGATATATGCTGGCACAAATTGAATTCTTCTAATTTGCGAGATATTTATTTATTTTCATTTTTCCAAAGACTTAAAGTCAGCCTATGCGCGTAGGTAGATAGGGGAAGGATCAAATCCTCCTTAGTTAGCTAAAAAAGCTATATTGATTCCATATTCTTGAAGATGAGTGATCAAAGATGATATAAAACCAGCCTTACGCATTGATAAATGGAAATATCTAGCCAATACTAATGTAAAAAATATCGACACTAGTGTGTTAAAAAATAGAGCGCGTAATGAATTTCGGCTTCTATGCTTTTATTTATCTTTGACCCGTCAGTGTTAATTGCTATCTTTCGTTGCATTGTAATTAGACTTATTTCTCAATTATCTCTCCTCTTGAGAAATTTTTGGTGGCAAAGTTTTCATCGCAAAGTATAGTCCGAGACATAAGTTATTCAGATTGTTAAATCTAGTACTACGAATATGTTAATAGTATGTTATAATATCCTAGTTTAGTTCTTTATGCCTTTGTGCACTAAAGGTAGCCGTATGTTTAATGAAACAATCAATATAATAATAATATTATAATATATAATATCAATACATTGATATTATTATTCATATTAATGAGATTAATAATAGTAATTGAAGAATAACATTGAGCACGCTAGTGAGGTATGCTCTCAACGCTCCTGTTCTGCCCACGCATGCTGATCTGTGCAAAGTACTTAGTCTTAGAAACTAGACAATTACTTTAGGCTAATAAAAAAAATAATAAAAAACATTTTGACCGTAAAAATTGGGGGTATTTTGATGATTCCATTCTTAAGCATTGTTTATAAAATTAAATAAATATTTTTGTATCTACTTCCTCTTGAAGTACAAAGATTTTTGAATCCTATGATATTGCGAATACTTGCAAACGGTACTAAAAATCTTGGTTAGGGGCAGAGGATATTTGGTAATTTTGTGTATATATTTTAATTATCGTCTGGAGACTACAACCAGAGATCCAGATATTAAGCAAAAATTGCCATATACTCATTTTTGAATCGCTGTATTATATTTTACTGAAATACTACACTACTATACATTCATTTTTTTTAAGTACAGCAATTAATTCCTTGGATATAATCAAGAAATATTACACAATTTAAATTAATTTCTGGAA